AAGGAAAAAATGGAGCTCGAGAGTGTTTTAAGAGTAGGTACCAAATTGGTCGAGGGGTTACGGGGGCAATCGTACCCCGAGCGTCTACTTAGCTTAGGTATGTAATCAATGCACTACCGACGGCTTCGAGGAGACCTAATCCTTACTTACCGCATTTTAACAGCGAAGGTTGGACCGGACTTGAGCTGGGTATCTAACCCGGCTAGGTTGCCTTGTCTTCGCTGTAATACCATGAAGCTACACAAGCCGCATTCTGACCGGACCAGGGCGGAAACTCAGTTGTTGTGTAGTTATCGAGCGCTGGAACTCTCGTCCAGAAAGTGTAGTCAGTGAACTTACGGTTAAGAGTTCCTAGCGTCAGTTAGACGATCTTGGGTGGCAACGTGAAATCCTTCCGTTCTCCTGACCATATCCATTTTCAAATTTTTGTTCTTATTCTGTCATTCCCTTAACTCTTTTCTTTTATCCTTCATTTAAATGATTTTCTTTTCCGTTTATCTTTCATTTACTTTCTACTTCTTTCTTACTTCAAGTAACTTACACAGCGGGGGCCGCTAGTGCAAGGAAAGTGGGCAGTAATTGTTTGATCAGCGTGTGTTTCAGGTGTTTCGTTTTAGATCTATCAAGACCTATCAAGACCATATCATTTCGAGGCGCAACGTTTGGCTAAAGCAGGAACACTTAAGGGATTTTCCTATTGTTCCAGTAAATCTGAATCTGAATCTGAATCTGACGTGTCAAATACGAGACAGCATAGAAGTCGGAGGCGACTGAACCCAAAGGTTATAACGCAGGCTGAAAAAAAGGAAGCGAATCAGCCACCGCGAGGAACGTGTAGCAAGGTACTCACCAACACGGCTTGTGTCAGTAAAACAAATGGACCTTTTGAAAGTTAACGCAACCGTAAATTCCAATGTTGCAAAATACGGAAAAAGCGTGCATTCCGCCTCACTATATAGGCAAACACCGTGTCAGGTGTCAATAGAAGGACGTAGACAGTGCACCATCCAGCTGAATAGCCAACTCCTTTGGGCAGGTTCGTATAGCAGCAAAAGTCAAGGTAGCTAAATGTTGGCATATTCATAATTGCACATGGAGAGAGGTCACGGTGAACAATACGAACCAAAGACACGGTCTGTATTAGCCAGTCCTAGAAATTAGCTTCCCTTACAGCACGGTATGCAGCCATCCTACACATAGATAGCACATTATGGACTTTGATTTAGATTTGGTATCTGTTCAGCAACCATAGTAATTGGATACCATTAGCAAAACGTTCATTATCCGCTTCCCAAAATCTGGAGCGTGCATGATACTATAAGCTGGATTAACATACGTATGTATCTGATACATACATATATACCAAGGTAATATAATGTTTTCTTAAATCACATCCAGTAACGTTTTCTTACGCGCGCAACTTGGATCATTCATTGTACTTAGTCGGGAGAACTGTGCTAACAGAGGCGCTTGAACTGTCTGGCTGCAATAGTTGGACAATACAGCCTCCTGCCTGTTGGTGTAATTATATAAATTAAAATAAAACAAAGCAACATAATTTAACGTGCTAAACATTAAAATAGACCTTTTATTGTGTATCATACCGCGTGCATTTTAATGCATACTTGAACATGCAATCGGGACTAATTGGATATAAGTACATCGATACAACCAACTTTCAAAGAATATTAATAACTAATTTTTTACATAAAGTTGTGTAAAAATAAGGTGTCGCATAAAACCATGCAACCAATCATTTATTTTCCGTCACCCGTCTTGCAGGAGGCGTATCCAGGTACACTACCCAGTTTTTTCGTTGCCGTCCTCCGCTAATACACTAGTCCTGTAATGGGCCAGCGGGGCTCTCACCCAAATGAGCCCGCGGGTGGTGAGTTTTATGTGATCTTCTGGTCTCGCGATATGAAACAGCTGTTTAATTTTCGTCTTGGCAATTTTAAGTTTGTCCAGAACAGTAGCAGAGTTCCGTGATTGTTCCACCTTGTAAAGCGTCGTTTTTCCCGGTGTGAATTCTATGGGGCGATCTGCAAGGAGCCAAATCAACGCACACGGTACACTCTAGGGTCAACCAAACAATGCTTACGTACCCTGCACTAGCAGTCCCCGCTAGCAGTCCCCGTGGAAACAAAACGAAAACAAGGTAAGCTGGAGCAGTGAATGTAACAAATTTGGATTGCAACTGGGAATTTAAAAAGAAGTAAGCATCAACAGATAAGAGCAAGGCTAAGGTGAGAAGGGGAAGGTTATAAACTGTAGATCTAGTGGGTCAAGTAAATGCTCGAACTCTCCCCATTGGCGTCATCACTACTTCAGTCAGCCGCATATTCCAACTCTATAACTCGGTGTGATCACTGAAAATCAGTCCCAACCCAGTTTAAACAGGGTTTGTGCAACTTCAGTAGATGGTCACGAAGAGTTGGCACCCGAGTAGGATGTAGCAGTCCAACTAAATCAGGGTCGACGTGACCTGTTATTATGCGATAGGGGAGGACCAGGTTTCCTAGAAATCGTCTGTAGTACATCGAAAACATGTCCATCTTGATTATCCTCTCCGTGTACGACAGCTACTTTAATTGAAACACCATTTCCGTCCCCTACTGTTCAAGTGGGATTGGAACGATAGGATGAATCCCATAAGTTTTCCTTCTTAAGCGGGTCGTCGATCCAGGAGTTGATAAGGGTGCTCCGACTTCTCGATGGGTCTAAAACGAAAACACCCGAAAAAAGTGCCCAGATCCATCCATTTAATGCCCATATTCTGTTCATTAACTGTCCCTGCTATGCCAGTTACGTGAAGAAAGTAAGAGAGGAAGCAAAATGGAAGGGAAATCAGTTAAATAAGTGAATAATACCAACGGTGAGGGAGAGTACAAAAATGGAATTGAAGTATGAAGCTGGGAATTAGTCAGGAAATATGAAGGTTTCGTTACCACCAAAGAGCATCTACTTGATGCTCAAACCCCTTAACCGTAGCTTCCTTGACAACATTTTCTGGAAGCAAGTTCCAGCGCTCGATGACTCGCCGCGATAACCATGTCTCCGTTCTAACTCGATCTGACGGCGGTTTGTCCAGCTTCATACAATGCCCGCGGAGACCAGATAATCTAGCAGGACTAAACAGCCCAAACAAATCAGGGCCAACCTTCCCAGTCAAAATATGGTAGGTTAGGATTAGGTCCCCTCTAATCTTTCGATAGGTTATTGAATGTATCCCCAAACTAAGGCGCTCGAGGTACGCTTGTCTTCGTAACCCTCGACAAACCTAGTATCGACACGCAACACCCTTTCTAGTGCCATTTTATCTCAGACAAGACATGATGGACAGGCCTGGACGCAGTATTCTAGTTGGGGTCGCACGAGTGCTGCGAAGAGCTTCACAAACACTTTAGCGGTTAGGGTCCCGAAAGAACGACGGATAAACCACAACATCCGAAACCCTTTACTAGCTGCCTTCTTCCAGTTGCCTCCAGAGTGTAATGTGGAACAGTGGACCACACCTAGATCAGCCTGATGAGTCACCTGAGGAAGTTCACTCCCATTGAGCACATAACTTGTGGAGAAATCAGACGCTCCGTTACGCACAGTACTGAACACTTTGCCCGGTTTATGGGCAGCAACCACAAGACAGACCATTCCCAGAGTCTATCCAGAGCCCGTCGAAGAGCCACAGGACCTCCAGGGATCTCAACAATATTCCAGAGTTCTAGGTCATCATAATCAAATAAGAGCGGATGGTACCTCAAGCTCCTCCGGCAAGTCATTCACGTAGACTGAGAACAGCGGCGGACGTAGAACAGAGCTTTGCGGAACGCCGCTAAGGACGGCTTGTCGAAACGAAAGACTGCTTCCCACACGAATATACTGTTCCCGTCCTTCCAGAAAAGCTGACACCCACTTGAGAACGCGACCAGATATTCCATACGACCTCAACTTCAGTGAGAGTCGCGAATGGGCGACAGTGTCAAAGGCGGTGAAGTCAATGAACACCACATCCACCGCATGTCCACTGTCTACGGCTTCAGCCCAGCTCTCACGAGCTACCAGCGAGTTCGTTTGACACGAAAATCCTTTGCGAAAACCATGTTGCATGACGCTAAGCAGGTTAAACCTATTTAAATGGTTCTCCACTGTATCTCGTACTAATTTTTCAAGTAACTTAACGACCACGCTAGTCAAGCTGACAGGCCTGTAAATAGCCTGTAGGTCTGTCATCGCACTTGAAAATCGGGCAGATAACAGCCTCTTTCCATTCGTTAGGTAAGACACAGATGTTGAGTGACTTCTGAAACACACAAGTCAGAAGTCCACTGAGTTCCACTGCCAATTCGTGCAACAATTTTGGATGAACTGAATCTGGCCTGGAAGTCTTAGTTGGGTTTACTTCTCTTAGCAACCGGAGAACTTAAGACTCAGTTACAGGAATTTCATCCAGACAACAATCCTCATACTCGTTCAAATGCCATTTTATCCCAGACTAAGCAAGTGGGCAAGCCTGTACGCAGAATTCTAAGTGTGGCCTAACAAAGGCTGCATATAATGTCGCGAACATTTCAGTTGTCATGATCCCGAATGAGCTGCGGATCTGCCTCAACATGCTAAACTTTTGCGAGCAGTTGCCATATAGTGTTCACTGGACTTAAAATCAAACGACAGCAAGACGCCTTGGTCAGCTTGGAGTGACACCCACGGAACTTTATTACCCCCGAGTAACTAGTGCGTCCGTGGCTCATTCGATGCTACTCGCGAAACTGAACATTTAGCGATATTACTAGGCCACTGCCACAAACCGGACCAGTTCCATAGCATATCTAGAGCCCTTTGTAGGGCCAATGGGCCACTAGAATCATTTACTGTAGACCAGAACTTTAAGTCGTCCGCGAAAATTATAGATGGCACTCACAGTTCCTCGAGTAAGTCATTAACGAGCAAGCTGAGTAGCAGGGAGCCAAGGCCGACCATTGCGGGACACAACTGTGAACACACTGGTTTGAAGACAGCCTGGAGCCCATACATATGCTTAAAGACGCACTCAGGAAATAGCTTCCACTTGTGCACGCGTAGCATGTGTGGCCAAAAAGCGTCTGCTGGAGTGACCGTTGGAACTCCCTGGGTTACCAACTTTTGTGCCGCTGGTCGTCTTCAATTGGACACATTTGAGACGAATTTCGGTCACTCAAGTTTTTCCATCTCACGCTTACCATGTGTTGGCTCTATGTCTAGTTGTGTTGGTTCTGTCTAGTTGCTAGACTGTTGAGCTTACATACATACATACCCTTACCATGTGCCGTGAATACATTCTTTTCGATTGCAATTACCGTCAACATTAAGCAGAAATATATTCCTAAATTGTAATTATGCAATACTATAGCCGCTAGATTAAATTCAAAGTGTTTTTGAGTGACCGAAACTCAAGTTCAAGTGCGATTGGAACGATAGGATTATCCCGTAAGTGTTTCTCTTTCAGCGAGATCTAAAACGAAATCTGTACCACACTCTGTCCAACTAATTAATGTCCATGTATCCTGCCTTAGCAGTCCCTACTCTTCCGGTTACGTGAAGTAAGAAAGAGAGAAAAGTAAACTCAGAAGGCAAATAATCTACTATGATATTTGGGTCATTAAAAAGGACTGAAAAGTGTAGGTAGGTCAGTTAGGAAAAAGGGACGGTTTGGTGTTGCCACCCAAGAGCATCGAATTGACGCGCAAAACCCTTAACCGTAGGTTCTTTAACCACATGATCTGAAGGCGAATTCCAACGCTCTATAACTCAGCGCGACAGACGATCAGTTCCAGCGTTCTCTAACTCTGCGAGACAACATACTTTTTTGCCCTAATCCGATCAACCCCGGTCTGTGCAGCTTCAATGGGTGACCGCGGAGATTAGGTAAGTTAGCGGGACTAAATGGCCCTGACAAGTCCGGGCCGATCTTACCCGTCAAAATAAGCTAACTGAGAATCAAGCCCCCTCATCCTTCGGTAGTGCATGGAGTACATCCACAGACTAAGCAAACGTTCTGGATACCTCTGTCCCCATAGGCCCTGCACTAACTTAATACCCACTCGTAACACCCTCACCAAACCTATTTTGTCTCGGATAAGGCATGGTGGACAAGCCTGGATACAATATTCTAGATGGAGTCGAACGAATGCCGGGAATAGTTTCACAAACAAATTGGCCATTGGGACTCCGAAAGAGCAGCGGATAAACCACATCATACGAAACCCCCGACAAGTAGCCTTCTTCCAGTTGTCGCCAGGATGAAGTGCTGAGTGACGACATAGATTCCACCACCGCCGACAACATATCGGGTGGGAAGACTAGCAGCTCCGATTCGGAGAACAGAGCACCGCTTGATTTATGGGCATCAACCACAAGGTGGACCATTCCCAGTGTCCATCCGAGGCACCCTGAATTGCTTCAGGACCCCCGGGATATCCACACTATTCCAGAGCTTAAGGTCGTCAGCAAACATTAGTGATGACACTCCTAGCTCACCCGGCAAGTCGTTTACATAGGTCGCGAACAAAAATGGCCCCAATACCGAGCCCTGCGGTACGCCATTATGGACAGCTTGCCTGAGCGAAAGGTTACACCCCATCCGTACGCACTGTTCCCTCTCTACAAGGAAAATAAACACCCATTGGAGGGCGCGACCAGACATCCTGTAAGATCTCAAGTTTGGTGAGAGTCTAAGATGAGGAACTATGTCAAAAGTATTCGAAAAGTCCACAAATAGCACGTCTACAGCGTGGCCACTGTCTACCGTTTCGGCGCGGCTTTCACGAGCTACAACTAGGTTAGTCTGACATGAAAATCCCTAGCGCAATCCATGTTGCGCAACACTGAGAAGGTTAGATCTATTCAGGTAAT